AAAATAACCCTGGGAGGAAGTGAGCAGGAATTGCTAACTTGAGATTACTAACCACGTACACTTACTTCCCTTCCTTCCACTGATGTATCTTCACAGCCCTCAGTCAATGCGGGAGTGAACAGCTGTGTCTAGGACAAAGGGCAAAGGAAAAGGACAGCTTAGTATGTGAGGAGAGAAATCATATGGCTGAGAAAGAAAGGACCACAAGATGCCGTAGCCTACTACGGCGTGGCTTCCAACTAATTATTTCCTAGATTACTCAGAAATGACACTTAGCTAATTATCTTCTAGATTCCTCAGACACAAAGATTTTTTCTTTAGTCACTGGAAACACAAATCAGGGTGACTAGTTTGTCACTCCACCAGCTTCTTCCATAAAGGACAGTTCTGTTCTGTCCTATAGGGTCAGTATGAATCAGAATAGACCTGACCTCATGAAACAATATATGTTATCTACATGCTTCCATTTCATGCAAGGCTAGAATAAGACGGAATCCACAGGAAGACACATAGACTGAAAATTGTGATACGTTGTTGTTAGGTGTCAGCTCTGACCCACAGTGATCCTGTGCAAACAGATTGAGCCTGATTCTGTGCCATCCTCATCATTTCTGATGCTTCAGCACATTGTTGCAATCACCTAGAAATCAGTCCATCTCCTAGAAAGTCTTCCTCTCCTTCATTGACCCTTTATCTCCAAGCATGATGTTCTTTTCCAGGGACTGGCCCATCCTAGTAACATACCCCTAGTATGGGAGATGAAGTCTCATCATCCTAGCTGCAAAGGAGCACCCTGACTGCACTTCTTCCAAAACAGATTTGGAGTGTTGTTTTTTTATATAGTTGATGGTATGTTCACCAATTTGCTGACACCATAATTCAAAGGCCTCCATTTTTCTTCAGTCTTCCTTATTCATGAGTCTGATCTGTACATGCTTGTGAAGCAATTGAAAACACCATGATTGGATCAGACGTGCCTTAGTCTTTAAACGGACATCCTTGATCTCACCCTTTAAGGTGAGGTCCTTGGCAGCAGGTTTGCCCTTTGCACTATGTCATTTGATCTGACTCTTCCCTGGGTGCTGATTATAGATCCAAGTAAAATGAAAATATTTGTATCTTTGTACTTTTCTCCATTGTGGCATAGGCTTGTTTTTCTCCCCATTTACCTGAGGAAGCCCAGCTATAGGTGTCATCAGTAGTGGAATGAGTCTGTGTCACTCTAAGCAGTGTGCACACAGTTGAACCACATGGGAAAGATGAGCATGTACATTGATACTTAGCATTTGTGCTGAAAAGCAGACTAGAAGGGCAGCACAGGCTCCTTGATTCTTTCAGTGTGTTTGTATTTGCCCCTACCTAGCTGAGCATAGGGTTAGTTATAGTCCCCTAGTTTCTAGCCCTGGATGGCAGTAGAAAAACTGATGCCTTTGAAATGTGATATTGGAAGAGAGTACTGAATATCCTATGGACTGCCAAAAAACCTAACAGATACGTCTTAGAGAAGGTGAAGGCAGATTGCTCCTTGGAGGCAAGGATGGTGAAGCTTCATCCCACATACTTTGGGCATGTTGCTTGGAAAGGCTATTCCTAGAGAGGCCATTGTGTTTGGAAAGGTGGAGGGATGACTAAAGAGACAAAAGATCTTCACCCAGATGGACTGACCGTAACTATAGCAATAGGCTTTAGCGTGTCAGAGATTGTGAGGTTGGCACAGGATAGGATGGAGTGAACCCCATCTGTTGTTTATAGGGTTGCTATGAGTCGTACTTGCCTTGAAAGCTCCTAAAAACAATCTCTAAGACTAGAGCTGTCTTTTTTTCCTCCAAAAGCTGACCTTGGGACTTATATTTTGTTTAGCACATAGTGATGCTCAGCACATCTCTATTGACTCATAAAGGATGTTCTTTGCTTTGCTGAACCCTGAAGGGCTCACCCTTCACAGTAACTGTGAGGAGGAAGAACCGTCCACACCCAGGGGTGTTTCACTGCTGCACATTCTGTTCGAGTGGAGGTCAAAAAACTGCTCGCTGTGCCTGTGGAGGCACGATGCCAGGTAAGGAGAGCAAACCCGTTCCTCTGCAGTGGGAATCTAGCAACATCCCCCCCCCACACTATTACCACGGAGCCCCTGGGTTTAAGAAACAGAATCTATGAATGTAAATATATGTTGTTGTTAGGTGCAGTGGCATACAGCTCATATCGAGCCATTCTGAAAATGGAAATAACAGGCTTGAGTAGTCTGCATCCTTGTAGCTTTAATATAGATCACTAGTCCTATGAGTCTTCTGCTTCTCTGTGAGATTCTTGATGTCCATTTAAAGGCTAAGGTGTGCCTGATTCAGGCCCTGGTCTTTTTAATCACTTGCTATGCATCTGAAAGCTGGACAATGACCAAATATAAAGAAAAAAATTTGATACCTTTGAATTGTGGCATTGGAGAAGAGTACTGATGATCTCATGGACTGCAAAAAAACCAAAACAGATATGTCTTGGGAAAGGTGCAGCCAGAGTACACCTTAAAAGTGAGGATGTTTGGGCGAGACTGAGAAACATGGGATAAATAATGTACTCTGCATTGAAACAGATGAGGGAGAGAACTGTTAAAAGAGATATGTGATTAGATATTATTGTTATGATAGTAGTCCAGAATGAAGGTAGCATAGTGGAGTGGACTTGCAGGGAGGGATTGAATTACTAGGAAAGATTTGTTTTTACTTTTACAAAAGAAAAGCGAATTGGGGGGAAGTGGTGGGCAGGGAGAAAAGTTAAACAATGAATGAATGGAAATCCAAAGTCTCTGTTAACTTTCATTAAAATCCATTTAAAAGAAAAAAAAGAGAGAGGATGACAAGGCTTCGACTTACATATTTTGGGCAGATGCAAAGAAAGGCCATTCCTAGGAAAGGAATATCATGCTAGGAAAGGTGGAGGGTCAGCACAAGTGAGGAAGATCTCCAATGATGTGAATTGACACGGTGGCTGCAGCAATAGTCTAAGTGTAGCAGAGATGATGAGGATGGCACAGGATAGGACAGGACTCAGGTTTGTTGTTCATAGGTTTACTACAAGTCATACTCAGTTGCACTTAATAGCAACAACCAAGGCACTGTAAAATGTAAACTCATTCTATTCCTTTTAAGACCTTCAAGAAATTCCAAATGAAGCAGGAATGTGAATGGTTGCACTAATTGAACTAGGTCTGGTGCTTTTATTTGTTGGTCAGCTCAGACCAAGAGAACTGTTGTACATTTTAAAAATTTCTTTTGTGTAGTAAATCCATATTGAAGGATGTAGTCTTTGGTTATCTTTGTCAACTAAGTGCTTTGAATATTCTTCACTTTATATAAGCAAGTAGTATCAGCTGCATAACACAGGTTGTTGACGAGTCTTCCTCAAGTCCTGATGCCACATTCTTCTTCATAGATTCCAGCTCCTCAAATGATTTGCTTAGCATTCAAATTTAATAGATTGGAGAAAGCATCCAACCCTGATGCATGCCTCTACTGATTTTAAACAATGCAGTATTCTGTTCAAATGTCTGCCTTTTGGTCTATATACAGATTTCTTATAAGCCTTTAATGTAGATTACACCTCCAATCAAGAAAAAGTCCTCATAAGTAGAGCAGTAGGGTAACATCATGGCAGATGAAGAAAAGATCAAGATTGTTAAGGATTTCATTACTTGGATCCAACACCAACACCCACTGAAGCAGCAGTCAAGTAATCACAATAAGAGTTACATTGGGGAAATCAGCTTTCAAGGACTGCTTTAAAGTTCAAAAGAAAAAGGATGTCACTTTAAAAACTATTTGCTTCACATACTTGTGAAAGTTGGGCAATGAAAAAGAAAGATTGAGGAAGAATAATTAGCCCATTTGAATTGTAGCGTTAGCAAAGAGTGAATATACCATATGCTGATAAAAGAATATATACATCTTGAGGAAGTCAACCAAGGTGCTCTTTAGAATCAAGAATGGTGACTCTTCCTCTCACATATTTTGGACATCTTGTCAAGAGTGGCCAATCCTTGGATATGGCATGCTTCAAAAATTAGAGTCAACAAAAGAAAAGAAAACTTTCAATCAGATTGATTAACACAGTGACTGCAACAATGGGCTTGAGCATAGTGGAGATTATGAGGCTAGGGCAAAATTGTGATCTGTTGTTCATAGGGTCACATGAGGCATAATTGACTCAATGACACCTAACAACAGCTACTTAATGGTGAACCATACATTGTTCTTTTGTACCATTTCTAATAAACATAACAGGAACCACAATTCCAGCAAATCTCTATAACACCAACAGTCTACTCTTCTTTTTTAAAAAATCTTGTTTATTTTACGCCCAAATTGCTCAACCTCTTTTCATTGGACAATTTTAACATTATTCTTTTTTAAGAAATTTATTATTAATTTAAGTGAAAATTTACA